CCACCTTCTCTCCCATCAAACATCTATCTTCATTGTCTCTCCACCTTCTCTCCCATCAAACATCTGTCTTCATTGTCTCTCCACCTTCTCTCCCATCAAACATCTATCTTCATTGTCTCTCCACCTTCTCTCCCATCAAACATCTGTCTTCATTGTCTCTCCACCTTCTCTCCCATCAAACATCTATCTTCATTGTCTCTCCACCTTTCTCATCAAACTCCCCTTGTCCTTATTATTCCTCCTTCTTTCCCATCAAACATAGTATTATATCGTCCTGATCTTTCCTGAGTTCCAAACTTCTTTCCTATCAAACATCTATCGTCCTTATCTTCCCTGGGGTTCCTCTTTCTCTCTTATCAAACATCTATTGTCCTTATCTCTCATCCTTCTTTCCTGTCAAACATCTATCGTCCTAATCTCTCATCCTTCTTTCCTATTAAACATCTATCGCCCTTATCTTTCCTGAGTTCCCTACTTCTTTCCTATCAAACATCTATCGTCCTTATCTTCCCTACTTCTTTCCTATCAAACATCTATCGTCCTTATCTTCCCCCCTTCTTCCCTATCAAACATCTATCGCCCTTATCTTCCCTCCTTCTTTCCTATCAAACATCTATCGCCCTTATCTCTCATCCTTTTTTCCTATCAAACATCTATCGCCCTTATCTCTCATCCTTTTTTCCTATCAAACATCTATCTTCATTGTCTCTCCACCTTTCTTATCAAACACCGTTTTTCCTTATCTCTCATACTTCTTTCCCATCAAACATAATAATATATCGTCCTTATCTATTCGGAGTTCCAAACTTCTTTCCTATCAAACACCTATCGTCCTTATCTCCCCTCCTTCTTTCTTATGAAACATCTCCTGTCCTTTTCTTTTATCCTTCTTTCTTTTTAAACACCTCTTGTCTTTATCTTTCATCCTTCTTTCCCATCAAACTTCTATCGTCCTTATCTCTTCTCCCCTTTTTTCTTTGTATGTTACTTTAGAAACGTCTCTAATCTTCCTACAATCTTCCTTGTGCACCCCTCAGTCTAGCCGGTGGTATTTGGCCATAATTGGACACTGGGTGTCTCTGGCGGGGAACGCAAGGGTCATGAATCCTATTAAGTACAGTCGACCTCCTTTTACGACCAACTGTCCAAGACAATCACTTGTAAATAGGACCACTTCCCACTTTCCTCTTTGTGAGACAATATATAT